CATTGCTTTTAATAGTGTTATATAAAGGAAAACATTTGCAAATGTAAATATTGACATCTAAAAGCAGCTAAAAGACCAATTAAACAAAGATAACAGAATATTATATGAAAATCTTGTTTTTCCGCACAATGATATACACCAGCTTCCGAGATTCTTTAACATTTATAAAGTGAATATAATGCAAAACTCGATTTTTTAAATTCCGCCTCCATTGATGTTATTCACAATAGATGTGTGCATTAATTTTCGATAAGAAATTTATTTTACTCTACATAATATTAATATAGAAATCTATATCATTTTCTTGTTATTCTATTTTTAAAACTGCATCGATAAATACACTAGACAAAATTGCTAACGCACCACCTAAATAAATTAACATTTTTCTTTTCAAAACTTGTTTATGATGTTTTTGATATATAATTATGTTACTTTAATAAAAAATGAGACATTTAAATGTTTTAACTGATAAATAACAACAATGTTTACTGAAGCGTAACCACTTCATAGAAAAAATTAAAATCATGTCCATACTTTTTTGGTGGAATAAATTTCAATATTTTTCTTTGTGGTTGTGTTCTTTATGTTTGTACTAATTAAAAACTCAGGAAAAAAGTTACACCTTATGCGGCGTTTGACTCTTAGAAGAGCATGCTAAGGCAGCTAGTATGGTGTCTGAAGGGGGTTCCTTTGAAGAAATGTGTGAAAAATTAAAACAATTAAAAGATTATACATTTCTTTGATGACAAATTGTTGAAAATGAATAAACAATCATAAAAATGTTTACAATAGATAGCGACGGCATTAAGCAAGCACCACACAATAACTTCAAGATTGTTCCACAAAATTGGGGCAACCGGAAGTTGGGTGGATTTGGTAGGGACACCAAGGCACTGGATGACTACTAAGCGATATGGTAGTCAATCAGGGTATATCATTTGATTTTTAAGTGGGAGACCGCTCCCGTCGCAACCTCACGGACCACCATCGGTAATCACCAACTTCATATCTTGGCAAAAACTGTGCGCAGTGCACGTCGGGAAATTGGTTTTCGGACAAGAAGGTCCTTTAAGGGTCTTGACATGACACCAAAGCATTTGTCAATCCAACTGTTTTGGAAAAGATGACATATCTTATATATTAGTAACAATCAGGAAAATGATCAATTCACAAATAAGAATAATAAGTGGTGCGTTAGCAATTTTGTCTAGTGTATAGCCAAGTAAATTTATTCGTAACATGAAGGTACATGTACATATACATGTAATATGATTCATGCCCATCAAGTAAAAAAAGGTGTAACATCTTTGCACATTGAATGTCTGTCTTAATTTTAAATGTGTGTAGATTTTAAGATCTCTTAGAAGGAAATGGATAATCCAATTTTGAACAAAAAATCAAAAGAATGATTAAAATGGAACAAAAATTAAAATGTGTCAAAATGAGGGATATTGAACAATGAGTTTCAGAATTTTTGAGATTAAAAAAAAACTCAATTCAAAAAAAAAGATCAGGTTCTTAAGACAAGTTAGTATCCACTGTCAACCAGTCACAGATGCCATGTGCCCTACGCTCACTCCTTCATGGCAACCGATCCCACCTCTGATTTTTTTGAGGTCCGTGTTTGCTCTGCTCCCGATTTGTATGTATTGTTTTTATGGACTTTGAGCTTGAATACTGTTCGTGAAGTTATATCCATATTTCAATTGGTCAACTAAATCGAATAACTCATAGCGAAATTAAGTATAAAGCAAAGGCCAAACAATTGGTTTGAAATATATCAAATAGTTAATTTGACTATGAGTTATTCGGTTTAAAAATCGAATGACCTTATACAAGTAAAAGGTTGTGATTGCTAGCAAATTCATTTAAACGAGCACAGAATCTCAAAATTGCTGACTTTAAACGAGATTGTTGAAATCCCCATATCATCAACTTATTTATCAGTAGTTTAGGAATTGACCACAGCATGCTCTTGAGTATGAAATAAGTAGTGAAATATTAATCACAAAAATACTCAAGACAATTACATAAAAATCAAATTCAAAATAAAAAGATCAGTACATTTTACAACATTACCGCAACTATTGATTATCTATGAAGTGCAAGGTAGATTATTTCGATAATATAAGAAACATTTCATAGAAGACATTCTCAACAAATTGATATAATATTACATACATATGTTCCCTAAGGGTTTATTAATGAATTCTGTTTCTACACTACACATCTTCGCTAGCCAAGGGCTTCTGATACGCTACTCTCCTCATAAGCCCTTGGCATACGGTGTTAAAAAAAGTTGGGATTTTTTTCTCAAGTTGTGATTGGAGTTGATAGACATCGTTCGACCAATCAGCAATTGTTTTTTGTAAATGACGATATTTGCGTTCGGGATATATCTTGACTCTTTAATATCGGTAATGTAAAACGCAAGTAAACAATGATCCGTAACATAACATGCCATTCTATGAATAGCAATATCGTGTCATCTAATTTCTAAAGCAACGTGCAAAATATGTGGTTAAGAATCTATACTGAAGATGTAGATTTGCATTTTTACATGTTTAAACAAATTAACATAACTCAATACCTTCTTGTAAATTATTCTTTAAAAACAATTTTTTTTAAAATACGCTTTTTATTTCTGTCAATGGCGCAATCTGTGCGTACCTGGTAAGAATCATGATCACGTGACAAAAACAATCCCGTCTTTTGTCAGCACCGTATGCCAAGGGTTTATGAGGAGAGTAGCGTATCAGAAACCCTTGGCTAGCGAAGATGACACTACATTGATTTGCAGATTATTTCCCTTGTTTTCACATTCAATAACAGAAATGTAAACTTCACTCTGAAGTTATTTGATGTTTCAGTTTAATATCAAAAAACGATTTAGTTTTTGAGTTTTTATTATGATAAACGCATCATGAAATATTGAACTTTGAAGCAAATGATACTTTGTTAAGTTCAGCAATATCCCTTTAGGATAAAAAGTTCAGATATTTGCATTGATTAAAACTAAGCTGTTCATGTTTATAATTAATGCTTGTATTGGTGCAAATCCAGGTTTGTTAACAGATGCACCGTATTGTACCGTATGGTCAAACGTATTACATTTTTCATCAGATTTGAAAATATCTATTTCAACGATAAAATTTCTTATTTTTGTTAATAATTCAAAAGTTCTTAAATGTTGATAAGTACACTTTACATACACTGTAAGGAACGCATATTTATGATAGATCTTCAACGATCTTCAACTTGCGACTAACCGAGGATAATATATTTCTATAATTTAAATACATTTCTAAATTTATTTGGGCTTTAAATAATGCCTCCCTGATGCATAGCTCTGATCTTTCGACATATTTGGCCCCAGTCATTAGCACCCCATTTTTTAGCTTTCCAAAGTTTTTGAATTTAAATATTTTGAATTTCTAATATTTCGGAATGAACATCACTGAAGAGACATAATTTGTCGAAATGCGCATCTAGGACATCAAACTTGGTACCGTATAAGATTTACATGCAATAGAAAATTATTTAACCATGACTCTTGCTTGATATGCGGACGAGTAGTTTGCCCTTGAGTTTTGAGCTGAAAGCCATGTAGCTGGAAATTTGGATAAGTTGAACCATTATGCAACCTTAAGTGATTATTTTTTGAAAATGTTTGTTGAGAATTTGAACAGATTTTGAACTTTCAAGATGCCACGCCTACTAAAATTCTAAAAGGTCTATTTATTGCATTACTAATACAAAAACAGCATCACAATGAAATTGCTAAGCATTTTATTGTAATACAAGGAGCATTAAAACCATCTAAGAAACGAGCCTTATTTCAGGGGACATTAGGATAGATAGATCAATTTAATCCTTTAATCCAACGATGGAACAGGTTTTCAACTGTGAGTACAACTGCTAGTATTATTCTGACGCTGCAATGTCAGAATTGGAGAGAAAACTGTACGCAATAATCTCATAAAGGCAGACCTCAAAGCACACAGGCCATCCCTTTACAACATCATTCTACATAAAAAGAAACACGTTGCTAGTGTATGCCAAGATTTCCAGGTGACTAAAACCGGACTGACACAGAGTGGTAAAAAATTGTCCCTTATGGATGGAAATCGATCAAAGAAATTTGACTTCCATATCCAATTTTAAACGCTACCAATGAGCTGAGGCAAGCAATTAAAGAGGAGTAAAACCTCACCCCTATTCCACGAATCACTCATCTGAGCAACTTTCGTGCTCAATATGATACCAACGGCTGTTAATGCAGAATGTGGAAACACGCCATATCGACGTTTGAAATTTTGAATTTTAGGGTTCAGACACCCTACTCCCTATAATGAAATACTGCAGTGCTAAAATGCCGTTTGATTCGATATCATGCCTTGATAAATGAAAATTATGAATGAAAGAAGATGGAAAATTGCATTTTTGTCGCATATTAATAAATGCTAACTTTTAATTATACATGTATATGTAGGTATCCTTTTCTTTTCAGTATATATAATGTTTTAAGAAAAAAGGTGTTGCAAAATAACTTTTTATAATGTCACTGCAGTAAAATTCGTACAGATGTTAAAACAGTTTCCAACCCGTTACATAATCATTTACTTTACAAGCAAAATATATACTAACATCATACGTGGCAACTTTATTTATTAAGAATTCACAAATTTTATTTCGTGGCAAAAAAAAATTGTAGCCAGGAATTTTTTTGTGGCCACAAATTTTATTACACATTAACAAAGTTTTTCGATAGCAGAACGATTTCTAACATCAAAACACATGCTAGTGGCTGAAAAAAATCAAGATATTTTAAATGAAAATAACATTCTCAGCATCAGTATTCTAGTACTCCGTCATTCTTAGATTTCATCAAACTTGTGTATGTTCAATATTTTCCAGCGCATACCATACTCTAAGAACCATGTACATAAAACCAAATAGAACTTCGATTTTTTTCATAAACCTACTGTGTTTACTAATTGTTATTTTGAACAGCACTTGAATATGCTAGATAGAAATCTGAACATTGGTCCTTTGATTTTCTTTTTGTTTGCAGGTAAAGAGTCCAGCTCAAAGATAGATTCTTCATCATAGTAGAATTCATCTTTGACTAAAATATTTCTAATGATGTCGAGAAACAGTTCGTGGAAATCAGTTTGATGCAAAAGTGAGGTTTCCATGTATTTACACTTGAATTCCTTTTCTAAAAGTTTACCATCTGAAAAGCAACATAGAGAAAAAGAAAATATCTGGTTGCTTAGAATAAAAAGCATGAATATACTGCATTGAATAACAATAAGAAAAGCTTGATTATAATGTTAAATTCAATTATGAAACAGATTGAGACAGACATGTATTGAACTGTCCAAAAATAATGTTTAGTAATTAAAAAAAAACTCACCATCTTTTGAAATGGACACTTTGCCGACAAGATCCAACTTATTGGCGATAAGAAATATCGGAGAGGTTACTTTGTATTTATTCCGCATTTGTCGCAATATTTTGGCAGCAGTTGACAAAGTCCGGCGATCCTCCAACGAATACACAAGAAGGAAGGCGTCTGAATCTTGGTGAGGAATATCTCGCTGCAAATGAGTCAAAATCAACACAGTATTAAAGTTATCCAACGGTAAAACTTACCATTCATGTTTAAAGAAAGCATTATAAGTGTGTTACATTGGACTATGTATTCTATTTCGCGCCCTCTGCGAAATTAAACTTCCGCTAAATCAATAACAACGCCAAATGTCACTAAATACTTCAATATACTAGATAAATATAAATATAAATATACGCATTTCTAAGACGTTCAAAAATGCAATCTTCACTAACTTGTTGTAAAATCAATTGCTATCAAACACATGTATTATGTAATACCGTTACTCTATGAATACCTGCATACGCAAATCTGTCTCATGGAATACCAAACGAACCACCTTATCGTCAACCCTCACTTGGACTTTCTGTTTGCACACATCATCTACAAAGATTAATGGTTTAAAATACTACTCTTCTGACGAAAAGTAGTGCCAGTATATATATATATTTTAATACATAATCCAGATATAAACTTACCTCCGCATGCTGGGAAGTCAGGATTCCATTGTCTACGTTTTAATCTTTGTATAAGTGATGTTTTTCCAACCTTTGGTGATCCAATGACGTTAATCTTACATGTGACATTATGTACATCATCTGACTTTGAAGTTATTCCATCTTCAATATTTTGGTCGAAAGGGCCATTGCGTTTCAAATTTTTACCAAAAAGAGTAGAAACGTGGAAGGAATCTACGCAGCATTTGTGTCCTCTTCTTGCAAAATTTCTTCTATCGTGACTCTCGCGTCTATGCAAACTGGGGCTTGCAGAAAATGTCATAGATCGAGGTTTAAATAAATATGCATTCGTCTGTTTATGTCCGTAGCCGGAAAAAGTATTACATTGAATTCGGAATGACTTCTGAGGACTCGAAGAAGCATCAGGTTTCTTCTTGTGTTCAAGTCTTAGAATTTTTCTAGGTTGCATGATGTGATACATTGTTCGAATTCAAAATTAGTAAAATTTACAGATGTTGTATTCCCTTAAGTCCTTTTCTTCCAAAAGATTTATAAATGGGTTGATTTCATTGGCTATATCTTTGAGCATCAATTTAATTAACAACAGTGTCGAGTTACTCTATAAGAAAGACGTTGTGCAAATCAAACCAAATACCAATTACTGTATATCACTTCTATTCGCTAGAATTTTATTTTGCTAATTATATTTTCAGAAAACCAAATAAGCAACTACATTGAAATATTAAAGTTACCTGGGAAATCCAAGGACTTACATGTATCCTTGACAATATCAGCATTTATCTCAACATTGGTTAAAGTTTGAAATAATTTGTAGCATTCTAAGAAGTTAAATTTGGGTGCATAAACATGTGATTTCCCAGAATTTGCCAAATTAAACCTTGAAACAAATACATTCATAAGACTTTTCCAATAAAATTAAGCATTTCTTTAAATTTTCATTCTTTATTCGATTCGATAACGATATACCTAATTTCATGACTTGTTGCCTTTTCAAACATTTGCATTTCTACTTTGAAGAATGACACACACTTTGGAAGTGAGGAAGTTTTCTTTCTTTCTCTCTTTCTTTTTGGCAAATAAATCAAAATGCCCCCCCCCCAAAATAAAATCCGAAAATTGCCAATGAATTCAACTAGAATAAACTGATTATAAAAGCATTTCAATTTTTTGGTACTCTGCTTGTATCCAATTTTATTAAGACCAACATCTGTTTAAAAAAAAAAAAATTAAAAATCTGTATAAGAATGAACGCACCTTATTATTCTATATTTTTCTCGCCTTTTCCATTGGGACTGGTCGCCCACGTGGCACAGTGGTAGAGCGTCTGCTCTAGAGTCGCGGAGTAAGGAGTTGATCCACGGATTCGAATCTCACTGTAGGACGTGGAGACCGGTCCATCAGATGAGACCATATATAAACTGAGGTCCCGTGTCGCAGTAGGTGCTGGCACGAAAAAGATCCCTCACTGCTCAATGGCCCTGAGTGCCGAGCATAGGTCAAAATTTGCAGCTCTCCCTCCACCGGCAAGTGGTGGCGTCTCCGTATGAGTGAAGAATTCTCGAGGGGGACGTTAAACAACAAACAAACAAACAAACAAACAAAAAAAATCCATTGGGACTGAGTTGCTTTTGATCTTTTTATAAATACGAATTATTCGAGGACATTGCTTTTCGTGTACATTACTGAATAACAATAATTAGATATTAAAAAAGATTATTTTGTTGTGTCGAAATAATTTTATGGATTATTTTGTATAAAACTCTACAAAGTTAAGGGAATTCTAATAAACTGTAGAACAGAACTGCAGTATATTTTTGGTTTAATGTTTCTAAAGGTGCTTGTTCCAAACTCCGGTGTTTCTCGGGGTCAGTGTTTTGCAGTGTTCACGATTTGTGTTCTTTGCTGCTTAATTTAGGAGTCTGATAACTGGTCATTATTTTTAATCTTTATCATTGCTTTCGAAAATCTTAATGTTAACTGAAAGCAAAAATGTTTCCTTTTCATTTGTTCTAATTTTATTCGCATTATTCACGTAAAAAGGTTGCACCACTGTACTTTAATATACAATCTTTCAGCGCAGATGAATAAATAATATTTTAAATCCTCTTGAGCTTAGGAGGACTATTCAGCGATTTTTTTCTACCCATCATGAAATGGTCCGGTACTGGTTCAATTGGGAAAAATAGATCGAAGTAGAACAAAGGAGAATTTTCCGTCATTTAAACAAATAAAATGTATTTTCAGTTTATTCCAACCTCATGTTTTAAACATGAGTTTTTTAAAGAATAAACAATAAGTATTTATTGTTTTTCATACCAATGTCCCTTGTTTTCGCATTTTCATGCTTTTAATTTGTCAAAATGTATGACACTTCGCTGTCTACACCACAGGTCCCGCCATATTACGACTAATCTCTACTTTCGACTTAAGCGGAAGTGATACTATTACTAAACTTGTACAATGTTTCATTTAAGAAGAAATACAATGTCATCATAGTCTGTTGCTTGGCAGTTAAATGGGGAATTTTTAGTCTCAAAATTGGGAAAAATTAACGGTTTTTTTTTTTTTTTTGGCATTGGGAATGGTGCCGTTTATCGGTACCAGTTATATAAGGAAAAAAAACGCTGCTATTTTCACTAGAATCAGTAACACAAATGTTTGACTTTACTTTATCACTGTATATACAATAAGGTAAAGGGTACCAACGTCGGTCTTAATTTACAAGGAATGATTTTAAGAATACTCCGTCTCTTCAAGAAAAATATTGCAACCAATAAAATAACAATATCCAATCAAACTTTATCACAGAAATGTGTAAAGAAATACTCATCATAAGGGCAAAAGAATTGCCCTCCCACGGTTAAGATGGCTACAAAATTTAAAATAATAGTTGTACATGGCCAGTTAGAAGAACATGCAGCCATATTTCAGTGGTTAGATATGAAGCGGACATGGCATGGAAAAAGGATTCACATGGAATCAGTTATAGGTTTTTTTCAGTGTCTTGGGTCTCGAGAGCAATCTCAGCAGCAGACCATTAAGCAGAAGCAGTCGTACTGCAATTTCTAAAGATCACCTCTAAGCATTTCTATGCACAATTCGATACATTTATTGCCTACACCTTGCTACTTGGAGTGCATATAAAATTTTCCTTATCTCGACTAATAACTTGCGAATCAGTGCTTAACATTTTCTGTATAATAAGGTTATTGAAGCTTACCTGAGACATACCTGCTTTGAAAATAATAAAGCAAAATGACAAACTAACATTGTTAGGTTTGTATGTACTCAAAGTTTTTAAGAAAGAAATCCTGATGTTTTCTTATCATTGAGGATTTTGTGGACGTTTTAAAATTAAGAAAGGTAATCTTTCAATAAAATTCAGCATATATGATATAAAGCTAAGCTTTGTTACACGACTATCTGAATTTAACCATTCATTGATAGTACTAGCAAACATATTTTTAACTAGAAGGTGTCTAGAAGGTGTTTTCTCAGATTCAATCAAGAGATACGTATGTCTGTTTGTATTACATTTACACATATAGTATGTCAGTTTCTTGTTAAATAATTGAAGCTATACAAAAATGAAACCCCGCGCCCTCAAATGCTGCGACTACAGCTATTTAAAAATTGGTAATTTTCTAAAAATCTTTAATAAAACCTGGCTTTTCTTGATTACAATTTGGTATCAAATGGAATGTGGGTTATATCGAATGTTTGTATATTTCATTTTGATATTGTTATTACAGTGATATACACTTTGCTAAAAGCATTTCAAAGCACCTCCCTGATTCTATAAAGAAAATAAATGCACAGCGAGCCTTTGTCGATCGACCTGCATTAAGAACACCCTCTTCCCTGCAGCACTCTCTAATCATTTATACTTATGATAAATAAATTTATAAGATGTCTTTGTGGTCTGAGGTTTGCAATTCTCATATGAATCTCGTTTTATTATGCCTCCGTATCATAGATTCGGGGGTGTATAGTTTTTGTCCTTCCGTCCGTCTGTCTGTCTGTTTGTCTGCAAAAACTTTACCTTGTCTATAACTTCTAATTGGTTGGAGCTATGGTATTTATATTTCACATGTGTATTCCTTGTAACAAGACCTTTCTTTGGATACCAACAATTTTGAATTTTTGACCTTGGAGTTTGACCTACTTTTGAAAAACTTTAACCTCAGCAAAAACTTGAACAGTTTGTGCTAGGACTTTTATATTTTGCCTGTGTATTTCTTATGTCAAGGTCTTCCCCTGTGTACCATTAATTTTGACTTATTCTCTTCGGCCTTGGATTTTGACCCACTTTTAGAATACATTAACCTTGACCATAACTTTTTGAATGGTCGCATTGGTGCTTGGGCTTGCATATTTACCAGGTATATCTATGGACACTTTCTTTGAGTAACAACATTTTTTTATCTCTTGACCTTGGAGCTTGATTTGCATTTGAGAAACTTTAATCTCTGTCATAAGATACCGTACGGGCATCAGTGGCCTAGATTGCTTGTAGCTAGTCGAAATTGACTTAGTAGACTTGATAAAGCGTTCAGAGACTTTGACAACCATCTTGATCTACCAAATATTGCAAAATAATATGCATTAGAAATATTTGAATACATTTGTTCATCTGTTTTTGGTCTAAATCTTCTTATACCCATCTCTCTCTTTCTCTTTCTCTCTCTCTCTCTCTCTCTCTCTCTCTCATATAACACAATATAAGTAAACAATTTTCAAAGAGTTACATGTACTATTGTTTTATTCAAATGTTTTGCTCCATCCCTTGCTAGTTATACTTGATGACGTTGTGTCATGTAAGATAACCATTTTTTTTCATCTCCTCCACAATTCTTCTATGGTCATTGTTAATAGCTTTATTCACTTTTTCATTTACATGTATTGCCAGTCATGCTTGCTATTAGAAAAATTATAGACGCATTTGAACATTTGGAAAAATAACATAACTTTGTTTTTCTGTACTTTATGATATGAATTTCCGATTGAAAAATTTGATCCTTTTTTTTCATAATATAAACACGGGGTACGTATAAAACGAACTTGTTTGACTGAATATAGAATATTATTCTTAGCATCCACGGACAAGTCTAGAGTTTTTTTATGATTCAGGATGAGCAAATAATATTCTATAACATATTTACTACAAAAAAAAAAATAAATAAAAAAATTAAAAAAAAAACTTAAGGTAACTGTGTTTATTCTCGAAATTTCAGTGTTTACTTACTGTGAATTAGAAATCATTTTAATTAAATTATCATTATTGTCATTTTCCTAACTTTTAACATGCATTTTTTTTAATATTAATAATAGGAAATATTACGTGTATAAATTCACATATTGTTACTATGATGTACATCTTTGGCATTATCTTTAAGAGGTATGAAGGGTTAAAAAAAAACCATCCACTCACCCCCCCCCCAAGTTATTTAAAGATTCATAGTAAATCAAAGTACTAGAATATTTATTTACTATATACACTAGAATACTTATTTACTATAAGATTAGTAATTTTTGTTAGGATAATGTAAAAAGTTATCCTATCAAGTTTCCTTATTTTCATCTATTTTTTTTTTTCGCATCAAAAAAAAATCAATTTAGTAAATAATATTATCTAGATACATTATATATGGTGTTTTAGGATTTTATTCAGTATAATAAACTTCAAATTTTGCTTAATGTCCATTTTTAGATTTATGTACGACCATTTCTTAAGTTAAGACGTCCTAGTTTAGGACGACCCTAAGTCAGCTTTGATTTTCATGCCTAAGTTTGTCTTTGGATCATCCTAAAATTTTCCTAAGATTATTCTTAGGAACTTTCTTAAGACAATTTTTAGGAAAGTTTTGTAAACATACCTGCTGGACGTTAAACTACAATTAATCAATCAAAAAACCATGGTTACACTAGGACTAAACATATAATTTTCAAAGAAACGTAAGTCAAGATACACGTTCTGCATAGCTACGTTACACTTAGTCCTAACCAGAAATAAAAAGTCATAACAAATAACTTACAACAAATAAGCTATAACAAAACGTTATAACAAGTAAGTCAGTGTCCCTCCAGGGCTTCCGTATTATCTTCACCTTTTTCTTTGTAAGCAGAATTTTTTTTCAAGTGTTAAACAAATAAAACTTGTTATTGCTGTTCAAATATATTTCAGATTCTTTAGCTTTATATTTGTCTATTCATAATTATGTTTGTAGGTTGATGTGTTTGGAAAGGGGGGGGGGGCTTTTTCACAATACACTTACATATTGGTAACATTATAATTTTGTTACTACTATGTTAAAATAGACATCCATTAATTGCATGTTTTTAATTAACATTAAATTTATTATTCAGAATTTGTCAAATATTTATATCACCGTTTGTGTATCAAACTAGTGATTAATAAAAGCTGTGTGTTTTTCAATTCATTCGGTGGTAACTTCGCGAATTCGGTCGCTAAAAGATCAAAATTATTAGCACCTCGTGTAAGTCTTGTGCCACAGTTAAATAAGAAATCATGGAGAACCCTGACGTCAAAAAGTCTTCATGTGTTCATTTAACGTCCAACTGTTAAATGCGAAGATAACAAAAGGTGGTCAATCTCACAAATCCATAAACAATTTGAACCGTGAACAGGAGCAAAATACGAGATTTGGGATCATGTGCCGAGGATGAGTAAGCATGCGTTGTCGATCGGTCCCACATGCAATGACCCTCTGTAAGAGCCCTATGTATTGATTAGGTAAACGGAGTAGTCCATAGTCAACATGCTATAAAACAGTAAAAATATTGTTCAATGATTGGTTGTTTTTGCAAATAAGTCGTTATAACGACTGCAGAGTTTGTGAAATGCTGTCCTTAAGCATTTACAGATCTTCAAACAGGGCCTTTTAATAACATAATCGTTTATAATAAAACAAAAACAGGGTATTGTAAAAAATACAGAACTTCAAGTCAAGAATCTTTTATTTAAAAATATTTCTCAGTATCTGAATATGCAATTGTTGATAAAGAACAAGGTAGGGTTTCAATACCAACCTTGCCCTATATTTTTCTTAAATATGAAAGTGATGTAAAAAACTAAAACTCATGCTTTCTGAATCATTGAAATTCCACGCAGAAAGATCATACACATTATTTTTTTTAAAATGACCTTCTAAATGCTAATTGTGACGTCATGAACTTGTGCATTTTTCCGTATTTTCTTAAAATGTTGCAGAAGACATCAATTTTCAATTGAATTTTCTTCTAGAAAATATAGATCACATTTATCGCCTGCATAAATTATGATATATGTAATTTTTCAAAGAATTTTACACACCATATCCGAAAATTAAAGTGGACGACGGCTGTGGACACTTAAGGAAAATAACCCTTGAAATGGGACATTTTTAGGTTTTTTTCTGTTTAAAACAGAGAAATGCATCAGATTCATGACGTCATATTTCCAGAATGGTCCTCCTTCATGCAATATTCTTTCCTGATTTATCACAGTCATATACTAACCTCATATTTAAGCCAGTTTCAAAACATTTTGAAAACATGGATTTTTAGGGCACAATAAAGCGAGAGCCATACCTACTTCTTTCAAGAAGTTTGAGCATGTTTAAATTTTTATCAGTTAAAGCTTCCTTTTCTCTCTATAGCATGGCTGCGTGATCGGAAGGTCGTGTGTTGGAATCATGGCCGCGACTGACCCAAGTCGATGAAAAATAGGTACATGTAGGAACTGTTCCTTCACCAAGCACTCAGCACGTTGTAGTGAAAGTTGCAGGTCCTTCAAATGATACCTTACAAACCGAGGCCCGTGTCACAGTAGGCGTAAAGAACCCTCACTGCTCAATAGCCAAGAGTGCCGAGTAAAGGTCTAAATTTGAACCCCTTCACCGGTATATGGTGACATCTCAATATGAGTGAAAGATTCTCGAACGGGACGTTAAACAACATTCAATCAATCTAAACAGCATGTAAATGAAACAAATTGAATTCGATTTATAAGTTCAAATTGTTACTTTGAACAGCACTTGAATATGCTAGATAGTAATCTTAACAATGGACCCTTCATTATTTTTTTTGTTGCTGGTAAAGAGTCCAGCTCAAAGCTAATAGATTCTTCATCATTAGAGAATTCGTCTTTGACTAAAATTTTTCTAATGATGTCGAGAAGCAGTTCGTTGAAATCAGTTTTATGCAAAAGTGAGGTTTCCATGTATTTACACTTGAATTCCTTTTCTAAAAGTTTACCATCTGCAAAGTAAAAAAGAGAAAAAGAAAATGACAGGTTAATTTAAATAGAAAACATTAAAATACTGTATTGAATAACAATAAGAGAACGTTGATCATAATGTTGATATCAATGATGAAGTAGATTGGTATTGATCATGCCAAGAAGAAATGTAAGCAATAAGAAATCTCACCATCTTTTGAAATGGACACTTTCCCGACAAGATCAGTCTTATTGGCAACAAGGAAAATCGGAGAGGTGCTTTGTATTTATTCCGCATTAGTCGCAATATGTTGGCAGCAGTTGACAAAGACCGGCGGTCCTCCAATGAATACACAAGAAGGAAGGCGTCTGAATCTCGGTGAGGAATATCTCGCTACAAATTAGACCAAAAGTACACAGTAGTAACAGTGTTCACCTTTAAAGTTTGTATACCATGTTTAAAGAAATGTACTTACTTGCATACGCAAATCTGTCTCATGGAATACCAAATGAACGACCTTATCATCAACCCTCAATAGAATCTTTTGATTGAACTCATCATCTATGGAAAAAAAATACTATAATATTCTTCTTAAAATGTAGTTCTATGTTTCTCTATTAGAGTAAATAACCAGAGTATACCTACCTCTGCATGTTTGAAATTCAGGGATGCATTTGGATCTACTTTTGAACCTTTGAATAAGTGATGTTTTTCCAACCTTTGGTGATCCAATGACGTTAATCGTACATGGTATACTACTGATATCCGATTCTGAAGCGATACCATTTTCAATGATTTGATGATAAGGAAAATAACTTTTCATATTTTCACCCAACAAATCTGAAAAGTGAAAGGAATCTGTGCAGTTCTTGTATTCTCTACATGCAACTGAAAAGTTCCTCATATCATAACGTACACGTGGATGCAAACTGGAGCGTGCAGAGATCGTCATTGATCGAGGTTTGTATAAAGAGAGACTCTCTCGTTTCTGACCGTAACAGGAGAACGTTTTACATTGCTTTCGAAACGACTTCCGAAGACTAGAAGAAGCATCAGATTTCTTCTTGTTTTCAAGCCTTAGAACTTTTCTAGGCTGCATGGTGTGATACATTGTGATTCCAATTACGGAATCATACAAATTCAGCATTTGCATTCTTATATATAATGTTTACAAATTAATTTTTCATTGGATGAATTTTTAATTGACACTTCAGATTATATCTGAAAATTCATAGCAATGCTCCCACACATACAGATAAATATAAGTATATAGACGGTATGAATTACGTGCCTCGATTAATACATGCATATACATACGTTTCTTATGAATAAAAGGTTGCCATTATTTTTAAAAAATAAAATACATGAGGTGTACTAAACATTTATTATACAAGGATCTTACGCTAGAATTTTCCATTCAATGAGGTTTTCGTTGTTTTGGCAGAAACTATATTGACAACTTCATAAAAACTAAAATTGATGGGACGACTAAAAATCAACACCCTTCCATTTTGTGATAGAACCATCAAGATGATTATTTTCGATATGTGATAAGCTGTTACGAAAATATCCTCATATTTGCTGCCCTTAGTACCGGTTGCGAAAATTTATGCTTTAGGGCTCTCACATTTTATAAAGATAAGTTTGATTTTAAGAAATATAGATGTGATATTCTTACAGGAGATATCCATACTGATATTCAGTTCTCACCTTAGACCTAAAAACCTCTTTGATTAACATAAAGTTTTTTTCTTCTTTTAAATGACTTTTTTCAGAAAGCAGAAAAGATGTAGATTTTTCAATGATAAAAAATATAGACATTTTACTTAAATTTTCTTTTAATTTACTCAATCGGTGACTTTACTGTGAAGACCCTAAAGTTTAATACACTTGAAAGTGTTGTTCTTGATTACATCTTAGATATCAAATTTAATGAGACACCAACGTAAACGCCTATACAACTGACTTTGTCCTTAAGGTATTCAAACTCATCAAAAGCACATACTGGTGCTTCTTTACACGAAGTTTATGCATACTAATTATATTCCCTTAAAGATTAAAAGAGAATGAAGTTGGCTGTATATCTGCATGATGTCCTGGGAAATCATTGTTAGTTGAATGGATGTATCGTATCGAAGCACTATATAGATCATCTGTTTTATAAACGTCATTTATACCTTATACTAATTATATACAACATGCAGAGAGGTGATATTCATCAAAAAGATTAACACAATCTAGACGTATTAATAAAGAGGGGTGGGTTCTGAGAATTTCATTATTATTTATTTATCTATACAAATTCTTTCTACTTTCATATTTATAATTACCGCTCATCCAAAGGCACTCTTTTAGCCGTAAAATTTATCAAATGACATTCATGGCATTTTTTTCAATTATAACCTGCTACAACTAAACATGTAAAATTGGTATGAAACTGAATTTCCAAAGCAATATCATTTAAACGTCCATAAGATTTGCGAAATGATGACTTTAAACGAGGCAGCTTAAGGTGGTGTATTATCTACTTATTTGTCATTAACCGTATAGAAAATTCATCATAACCCAGAACATTCCCTTGCAAAGTGAATCAGTTGAACGACACCTTACTTGTTAATTTGTAAATAAAGTATGTATTCATTTAAATACTCAAATCTTGAACAAATGTGACACACTATGGTGTCTTTTATTTTCTTATTAGTCTGTACCAAAGTGAAAAGTATCACTTTTTGCATTATATCTAAAAAAACATATCTAAATACCTTCACCATTAAACTACATTGTATATATGGCCAAAAGATCATTTTATTCCGAACTCTCTTTTGAAACACTTCGATTGGCGGAAAATTATGTCTACTGATATTTAGAAGTGTAAATAGCTTCGCTTCGAAAAGGTGCCGTCTGACAGTATGCATTGGCATGACAAACAATCCTCACTTTTTCATTTCTGTGGCTCGAGGCGTCATGCATAGTTCAAAATTTGTGGCACTTCACTCGAAAGCAGGTGACCTCCTTAGTAAAATATTCTTGAACGAAACGTTAAGCCACTTACAATAGAAACTGCAAAATAAATCAATCTAGTAATAATTCTTTGAAGTTACATGTAGATTCAATTTCCTCAGAAGATACTTGTAGCTTTGTCACTGTGTCTGGTAATCAGAAAATATTTGCTTTGATATAAAACTTACACAAGCAAACATATTTTGCTCCTTTATTAGAATTCTGTGGTCACTGATTACTTTTCTACATTGTTAAGAATATATCACAATTGAAAATCTTTGCTTTGTAGTCATTTTTTAACTGAAAGAATTAACAACGCCAAACAGAACCCGTTGTGTGCGTTTACACATTGACATTCTGGTTTTAACATTTAATAGAATCTTTTTTGCTAATGTATCCTTCTGCACGTAATCTTGTGTGCCTGGGTAAGTGTAAATACATTTCTGTGGCTTCAATATCACATAGAGGCCTTGACATTTGCTCAAAAGACCTGAATGGAGCCAGCTGGTCCAGGTTGACTTAAATAGAGAAACTCTTTACTTTTATACCATGTGTTAATGACTGACTTATATACAAATGCAAAATCTGAAGAAAATCTACCATTTGGTTATTTATGGGACCATCATAAAACACCGTTACATTTACTATAGAATTATACGGGGTATTGCTTTTTATTGCACTTCAAGGCAAATTTAAAAAAAAATAATACAACAGACATTTTGCTCAAATTATAAAACCTCATGAGTAATACTATATTATGAATATATGTAAGAAACAAATTTTATCGTCTTCTTTGCTCAAAATATCCAAATTGACGAAATTTTCCTTTTTTGTGTACTGCATTATATGACATTCCCGGGCCGTCACTTAGCTCAGTCGGTAGAGCGCTCGCTCCGTGATTGGAAGGTCGTGTGTTCGAATCACCTAAGTAGATAAAAAATAGGTAGCAACTGTCCTTCGCCAAGCACTTGGCACTTTGAGGTAAAAGTTGTGGGTCCTTCTAATGAGACCTTAAAAACCGAGGTCCCGTGTCACGGTAGGCGTTGGCACGATAAAGAACCCTAATCTGCTCAATGGCCCTGAGTGCCGAGTATAGCTTTAAATTTGAAGCCCTCTACCGGTATATGGTCTCTATATGAGTGAAAAATTCTTGAACGGAACGTAAAACAACATACAATCAATCAATCTAACATCCATGTATTCAAAATTTCAAGACCATATTAGATTTGATAGTGTAGAACAACAGGATTCTTGGGACAACATGAACACTGTCCTCAATATGGCTGAAACGGTGACCGAATAAGTTATCAGTTGACAAAAAAAACAATATTCCAGCAAATGCAATGAAAGAAGGTTCTGGTTCAACTCGCCAAAATAAGAAAGGCGAAGAATAGACAGCAACAGTCAAGGCAATTCATGGAACGGCATTGTAATTGACACATAAGAAACGGTTCAAATGGAAAAAAAACTGCCAGAATTATAAATATCGGCGAAGATGTCTGGTTAAAACCCCAAAAATCGAATTGGAACTTTAAATAAAGTTGATGTCATCAAATCTTTGAAAGACCCTGTATTAGAGTCGTTACACAATCATGCAGGTCATCAAGGGATAGAAAGTACTTTGTCATTAATTAAATTGAGATACCATGGCCAACAATGCAAAACGATGTAGAACAATATTGGAAAAGGCATTAGCGCTGCATGGTAACAAAATCGCCAATTCCACATTACGACCACGTATAGGGAATCCTTTAGCGTACCAACCGCAATGAATTCTAGTTATTAAGTTTACAGTTCTTGAATAAGCGAGCAATGGGCTAGGAAATAAAAGATATGACTGACATATTCAGTAAATATACACATGTAGTTCCAACAAAAGATCAAAAGGCAGTTACGGTTTCTACAGTGTTAGTAAAACAGTGTGTTTTTCGTTTTGGATTCCTAGAAAGATTCATAGCGACCGAGGAAGAAATTTCGAAAGTGAAGTTGTGAAAGAACTATTTAAAAATATTTCTGTTATCTCCAAACGAAGAACAACTCCGTATCATCCTGAGGGAAACGGTATTATTACCCCTTTAAAGGGGGTAATATTGTCATCGAATCGTAAATCATTTAAATAGCCGTGAAATTTAATATATTGCTATTTCCGTAATATTTTATGTTTAAATTTTTTTTTGATTGCTGTAAGTTATAATTTATTATACACATCTCGAAATAGGAAAATATTTTTTATAAGTATTTCTTTTCAATAATAATTTGTATTCCTTTGTTTGAAATGTCGGTTATTCTTAATAAGTCATGCTATATTGATACATGTATTTTGAGGCTCTGTTAAATAGAAGTCTTGAAAAATCAAAATAAAATTATCATATCATATATCATAGAATAGTGAAAAAATATTGCAGTCTTTTGAAACCGCTGAACTATTTTTATAATTCAATGTATGCTATTGTTAAATTTAGTTTGAGAGTTTAAAATATATTGATCAATGATACAGAATATGCCTTGTAGGTCTTTTATATTATCAAATTAGGTTAATAACAGTGATGTGACAGATCTGATCCATGGGGCTTTGAATTATCCCTTACTTAGGGTAGGTTTAGTAAAGAGCATGCATATTGTTATATATAACTTTGGCATAATAAAATTCATACAAATGCCTGAGTATTATGGAATGTATTTATACCGTTTCATAGTGTGCTCATATTTCTCCATTTGTATTGCAAACTATATTATTCATTGATCTTTTACAAGCATACGATATTCAAAATGATTTTTTTGCTAAAGCTGACGATGTTATATTTTATCACATTCTAATGTTGTAGGCCTTCACCATTATATATATTGTTCAAATAATAAAAAGTGACAATCACACAAATATTTTCTCAATGAATTGTCAACGGAGTTTTCCAAGAATCTGCGAAATTTTCTACTTCCGAATTGATCAGAAATTTCTATTCCACGAAATTATGACCATTTGGAAAGTGCATTTATGATAATTAATTTTTTTATCCCTGGTTTTTTAATTCTGTTTAAAAAATTTGCTACAGAAGCATTATTATGCTTTCTTCCAAAATACTGCGCAAGGTATTGTGCAATGGAAACCCCAGT